AGCTAACATTATTGACTTATTTTCAGCATGGTTATGAAAAAATATTTGTCTACTCGGCTAGTTGATCCAGATACATAGTAACTTAGGCTATGTGTGCTGACAAACAATATAAAAACAGACGTCACATAGGGCTAAATGCGTAGCATTTTAATAAAACTGTTAACGTTACGGCAGCGGGGAATATGAACGTGCATGAGTTACTTTATTTAGTCTGTGTTATTTTAATGTTTTGGCTTTTCTTTTTACCTAAAACATAGAGACACTGATGTTGATGTGTCTGCATTCAAGCATTTCAGTGGGCTTAAATAGATCACCCTTTACAACCGATTTAGTTCTCAAACAACTGACAGTTTTGACCTAAATATGATTTTCAGTTACAATAATTAATCCTAAAATTCGACATTAGTAACTTACTTTTAGCAGCATCAGTCGTGCGCATGCTATCAAGATCTCCTGGTTCTTACTTGTGAATTCAGGTCACTGGAGACTCGCACTAAACGATTCATTTGAATCAGTGAGTTTTTGACTTGAGAACAGCTGCAATCAGTTCATTTTAATTCGTGAATGAATCGTTTGGTGCAATTTGCGAACCGATTTAAAAGGTTCATTGAAAAGAATCAGTTCGTTCTTAAATCAGACACAGCTTCTGCGTGTCGGAGCACATGATATATTATAAGGAGTAACGATATGTTTTACGAAATGTAGTGAAGTAAAAAGTACGATCTTATGCTTTGGAATGTAGTGAAGAAAAAGTAAAAGTTACTCAAAATAAAACTACTCCAGTAAAGTACAGATACTTGAAAAATATACTTAAGTACAGTAACGAAGTAAAACTACTCCGTTACTGTCCACCACTGCAGCAAAGGAGATGCTGGTCAAAAACTAGTACGGGAAGAGATACGAAAAGCCTATGTTTGGGCTGCGCCACATGCCAAGAAGGCACCACGAGAAACATCTGGGGCCCTGCACGGAGTAAAGCAGACTGAAACATCATGACTAGCCTGACACTCACAGATACTATAGAACAGTGTTGATAGTAAAAAGGAGGAAATTGAAGATGTGCGTGGAACATTAAGTGAGGACCTAACAGAGACAGACATTCGTAAAAAAGACAGTACTGCTGTTCAGTCACATCCCGTCTGCAGTCTGTACCGTACCAATACATGCTCTCTGTGTTAAGCAAATGGTAAACATAAACACTAAAGTCTGTAATTGCACCTGAAATCTTTATGGGAAATAAATACAATTTGTACATACGTGTGATGCTTGAAAACAGCATGCACCTGCCCAAACCAGACTTTTGGATTATGGTGTCTTCAATAAGATGAACCTCCCTTTTTATGCAGCTAATAAAATCACAAAAAAGCACTGAACTCATACAAGACAGAACGTATGGATCCGCTCTGGAGACAGCAGATATCCATAAAGTCCATTAAAACAAAACTCAGGATCCTTTTGTTGTGCCGCAGGGGTTTTGTGCTAGGGCTCTCATGTTTTTCGACATCAATGCAGGAAATTGATGGAACAGTCCTTAGTCTGTAGTGAGAAAAAGAGAGAGATAGGATTAACCCATGAACCAAGTGAAGGTAAGTTACCATCACTCCCCTACAATTAATCTTATCACTCAGTGTATTGATTCAGTCACATGCCATATACAGAGGTTATAAAAGGTTGGCTCACCCAAAAATTGTGAAAATCACTTACTCACTCTCATGTCATTCCAAACCCATAAGACATTTGCTCATTTTGAAAACACAAATGAGGATACTATTAATGAAACCTGAGAGATTTCACAGAAAGTTCATTCCAGTATTGGGGTTTGCTCTTGCACATCAAGGATGTACGTTTTGAGTTTCCATTTACCATATTTGATGTGCTCTAGGTTTGTGCACTGATCAATGTTTATATGTGAATACAAGCCTAAATTAAATTTGTTCATCATATAAAGTCATTGTGTCTTTTCAGAAGACTCGAATTAAACTGCTCAAAGCATATGGATTTCTTTTATGAAGTTCTGGTAGAATTGACTTCAAATGGAAGGACAGAAAATGCTTTGATTTCATAAAAAATATCTTCCTTTAGTGTTCAAAGATGAATGAACATCTTATAGGTTTGTTTGTGAGTAAATTAAGACAAAGCAGGGTGTTTTTTTTAAAGGAGACATATTATGCCCCTTTTTACAATATGTAATATAAGTCTCTGGTGTCCCCAGAATGTGTCTGTGAAGTTTCAGCTCAAAATACTCCACATATCATTTATTATATCATTTTGAAAATGCCTATTTTGAGTGGAAGCAGAAACCTGCTGTTTTCGGGCCTGTCTCTTTAAATGCAAATGAGCTGCTGCTTCCCGCCCCCTATCTCGCTGAAATCATGCGGTTTAAACCATATGAGTTTAAACTTTTGATATACAGTTTTCTGAGTGCACACATCTGAAGCACACGGACAGAAAGCGGCCACCACACAGCATGTGAGTACTAAACTAAGTTCTCATTCACACACAAGTTTACGTTAAAAACACAAGTTACAAAAACAGTCGGTTATGTCTGTGAAGGTAAACTGCTGGGAAATAAATTGCATGTTTATTTTAGATCTAAATAGTTTTCTGTGCTCGTCTGTGCAGGCAAAGGCAGAACAGTTAGTATGTTTTGCTCAAACTTTCACCATGGCATTAGAGCTGGTACACCGTTGTCGCTTGTGAAAACACAATGCCAGCGCCGTGGGTGGAAACGTGCAGATTAAGGGGCGGTAATATTATGAGATCCCTTTGCAACGTCACCAAGGGAGAGAAATCAGACACGCTCGTTTTCTCAGACACTTGCAGAAAAAGGCGTACCAAAACAAAGTTACTGGGTTAATCTTTTTCACGTTTCCTTGGTTGGTAGATGCACTGGGGACCTGATTATTGCACTTAAAACCTGGAAAAGTAAGATTTTCATGATATGACACCTTTAAACAGAATTCTGTTTAAAAGGAATTTGGCCTGACCATCATGATGATCTTTATATTCATCCTCAACCAAACCTCACCATGTCCTACCTGTCCCGTCTAAGGATAACCTGACATGCCCTTCATCTGCCATTACCTTCTCTATCCCCTTACAGCTCTGGCGGGCCGTGGGGTTGTACGGTGGCCTGCTTTGACCCTGGTGCACAGAAGCAGTGCCTTTGATAAAGGACTTTGTCTGACCTAACAATGGTGGTGGGGGCACAATGCCGCCGCTTTCAGAGCTCTCTGCACAGCGGCGTCTGGAGGGGCAGGAATGCTGCTAGTTCATTGTTCAACTGAAGGCCAGGTCCGATAGGGGAGCCAAAGGTCCCAGAGTTCCTCCCAGCCTTGGTGCCAACATTACCCCACAGCGACAACCACACCCTCAGTTTACCAGGAGAGATGCAATTAACAACCCCATGTACTGAAGTCAGCACAGGTGTCACCTTCTGTTTTTTAGAAATACGAGTTTGGCTCAAAAGTTGCCATCTCTCCTCCTGCTCACATATAAAGCAACCCAAGATCAAGGTAAGCGGTTTCAGAAGTTTAACAATGTACAGTTTAGGTTGGCCAGATGTTATAAAAAAAAAAAAGTTTTGTCTGCTGGCCAGTTCTGGTTTTTACTTGCCTTGCCAACATTTGTACTGGCCTGACCCCGAAAGAATGCTAAAGATTAAAAATATCAATGTATTTTAATATTTGCTAATCTATATACTGTTAAAAAGTTTGGGGTTGGTAAGATTTTTTATGTTTTGAAAATAGCATATATTTTATAATATATGCTATTTATTCCTGTGATGTAGCAAAGCTGAATTTTCAGCAGCCATTACGCCAGTGTATTCAGTGTCACATGATCGTTCAGAAATCATTCTAATATGCTTATTTGCTGCTCAAGAAACATTTCTCATAATCAAAGTTTAAAACAGTGCTGCTTTTTTGTGGAAAACATGATGCATTTTTTTCAGGATTTTTTAATGAAAGTCTATATGTATTATTATCATTAAATGTTAAGTCCTTACAAAATGATCGGATTGTGGTTTTCAAAACATTCTTAATGGTACTTTAAAGACTAACACTATGTTAGACAACTAGATAAATTCCACAAGGGAGTGAGGAAAGTAGTACTCAAAGATAAAAAAAATAAAATAATCTCCCCAACTGAATACAAGAAGCCGACAAGTGGTTAGCCTTACTCCTGTGCACATACATGCAAACAAAGGTGACCATTTTTAGTCTGAGCATATCCAGTTTGGGTCAGTGATGTTGCTATATATTAACCACCTTCATGGAAACAGAGAGATCCGATCCAGCCATCCTCTGCCCTAAAAAGTGCATGGCAGCACAAGACCATCTGCGTCACTGCATGGACACCAAACTCCATGTGCGTCACCACACACACCGCTCACACATCACAAGCATATCATAGTGCCATGCCACAGCAGGTCGCCGCTATAAGTGGGACAATGACCAAACAACTGCTGCCTCTCTTTCATTCCCGGCCTATTTTAGGAGCTGTTCTGCCAGCCTACGATAGTGGGATTGCCCATGACCCCGCGGGAGTCTTTTCTTTCACTGGTAGATGAACTTACAAAGGGTGGCACCAGCTGGTACAGACGTCATTGGTCCAGTAGAACGGTGTTAGCACAGGGAGCTGATTCGTGTCTGTTACGACCAATGGCTCAAGCGAAGCAACAGAGGACACATGAAAAAAACAAATTGTTGACTCAAAATATAATTTATTCAAAAATTAGAGTCACATGAAAAAAGTAAAGAAAACCATAAAGAAAACAACCATGTATTGGAAAAACATCAGTAATGCCAGTGTGTAATGCGAAATGCATGGATGTAGGGAGATGTGGTCTTGAAGTGCGAGGGCAAAAGCAAACCAAACAAGCCACAAAACCAAATATCCAAAACTGAAGCCCCACTCTGGCTCAAGCGGAGGCCTCTTTTAAACGGAGCGTCTGATAGAGAACAGGTGTTTCAAACGGCTGCCAATCAAGGTAGATTGTGGGCTCAAAAGGGATCCCACCAACAAACGACAGGGGTCGTCACACCCCTCCCCATAAGGCAGGGACTCCCACAAAGATCCCTGTAACAAAATATCAAAACAAATCAGCCAAATAGCATACCTGAATCAGAACCAAGGACAGCTCCTAAAAAAAACACAGAAGGAAGAAAACATCTAAATTAGCCCTAGACCATAGCTACATTATGCATCTGAAGCGCGAGACAGCGCATTGGCTACCACATTTTCCGAACCTCGTACGTATCGAATATCCAGGCAGAACGACTGCAAAAACAGAGACCACCGAATCAGCCACTGATTCGGACACTGTAAGGAATTCAGAAATGTCAGTGGATTATGATCCGTGTATATCACAATAGGGGCACTTGAATTTAAATGCACTGCAAAATGCTGTAGTGCCCAAATAAGGGCCAACGCTTCCTTTTCAACCACAGAATAGTGACGCTGATATGAGGTAAACTTTCTTGAAAAAAGCTAACTGGATGATCTACTCCATCATCACGCTGCTGAAGGACGGCTCCAGTTCCCACGTTACTGGAATCAACATGCAGCGTAAAAGGTTTATCAAAGGACGAACACAGCAGAGACTTAACATTTTCAAAAGCCGTCTCACAGCTAGGAGACCAAACTAACTTTACCTTGCCCTTCAACAAGTCTGCAAGTGGTGCGATTACAGTCAAAAAATTATGACAAAAAGATCGGTAGTACCCTACCAGTCCTAAAAACCTCATAAGTTCTTTCTTGGTTGTCGGAGAAGGAAAGTTCTGGATTGCTTGGACATTTGCATGTACTGGACGCATTTCCCTATTTCCCACTACTTTCCTAAGAAACGTCACAGATGCCTTGGCAAACTCACATTTTCTTAAAGGGGTCCTATTATGCTCTTTTACAAAGTCTTGATTTTGTTTTGGGGGATGTACTAGAACAGGCTCTCAAACTAGGTTGTTCGAAAAACACATTTTTCACATATTTTACATTATTACAACACATCTCTCCCCAGTCTGGCATGAACAGCTCGAATAGTTCCTGTATCAAATGAAGGCCCGCCTTCTGACATACGAAATGTGCTGTGATTGGTTAGCTGGGCCAGTGTGTGTTGTGATTGGCAGCACTCGGCGCCTGGTCGGGAAATGTCACGCCCCTTACCACAGCCGCCTGCAATCTTCAGTGTAAATACTGCGTCAAAATCAAATCCATTTGAGCACGATTTAAACCCGGATGATTGTAAGCACTCTAAGTTTGTCTGCCTTGTGAAAGCTAGCGTGTCTCCGACATAGTGATAACACTCGTTGCCTTCTCTAGTGCAGCTCAAACAGGTCTCGTCCCATTCGTCGATATTTGTGATATCACAAATCCCGGAAAATATGCGTTGTAGTCCAAACGAGTCGTTCGTTGTAGTTCTTGAAAAGTGATTTCTGTTAAATAAAATCTCCTTTTGAATTGTACTTTGAGCTTTGTAACTTTGCAGATCTTTTTTATGCTCAAACAGCAACATTACAGACTAACTAAAGTTGAAAAAGCATAATAGGACCCCTTTAAAGTCACCATGAAATCAAAATGGGAAATTCTTATTTTTTTAATGGCATATTGTAGTGTTTATTATGAATAATTTATCCGTGCACTTCATTATTTTTTTAAAATTCATGTGCCCTCGTAATCTTCAAATCAAAAACGTTAACCTCCCCTCCCCCTCAAAACGACTCATCTTCTCTTCCGGTCACGAGCTATGGCGCAAGGGCGGAGCTATTGATGTTAGTGCTGTGTTCAAAATATCGATACGATGATGTATCGTCACAGAGATTTGACGATACGAGTATCGATACAGCTGGCCCTGTATCGATACTGTGGCACGTGTGCAGCAGTGGACCACGCTTAATTTTACAATGTTTAAAATTGAGTAGAAAAGTGCAAGGTTTCTAAAAAAGAATGAATAGAGCATCTGTTAATAATCTGGCCGCAGAGGAACACAACAGGGTTGCCTGATATAAAGAGACGCAATCCCCAAAACAGAGCTTTACACTTGCGCAATACGGAAATATCTGCTAAACGTGCTACTTATCTTTGTGAACCTGGCAACCATGTGCACACACGCTCTCTCTCCACTGTGGATAAACGCGCTTGCTTTCTGAAAACAGCGGTTAGCTTGCAGTTTAGCTATCTCCACTTCAAGTCTATTCTCAGAAAAGTGTGATTCATCAACTGTTCATTTAAGACACAGAGAGAGAGAGAGGCTGTGTATGTAAGAATCACCACCGTTTTGCCGCGTTTCTCTATTAACAGTGAAGCTGTGGCTTTAATTACTTTAGAAACAATGATGCTACCAGCTCCTTGTTGAGAAAGATAATGTAGCTAGTATAGTGCGGCCGCAGCGTGATCTGTGTGTGTGACTGAACTTAACACCAAACTGCTTCTGTTTCACACAAATGCTGGCACAGACGTGCATGTTCGGCTAGAGTCGCTTTGAACTCGGAGCGGAGCTGCACGGAAACGTAAAAAAAATGTTGTGCACACCGCCACGCGAAACAACGTCGCGCGCACTCAAAGTGAACTTGCGGACGCTTGAGTATAAATCAGCCTTGAGAGTGTGCGCGTTAGTTTAGAACTCTTCTAATTTTTTTTTATTGTAGAGAGTGTGTTAATTTGGGCAATGATAACCTACCAGCAATGTAAATTTTTTTTTAAACATATTAGAATGAGTACATTACAATATAAATTTATTAGAACAAGTACATTATTATTTATGGGCTTAAAAACAAGATGCAAACAATCAGAATATTGTACCTGGTGGGGAGTGCACAATGTAAACATGAAACATATGC